AAAATTGTTTAATTAAAATTCAAAATTTTTTTTTAAATTCAAAATCTTTTTCTCAAAATTTGAATTTTTCAAATTCCAACGGGCACTTGATTGTTAGTTATTAATAATACCTGAAGCATAGGAACCAGAAACTGTAAACATCCAGACCAATGTCCTTGAAAATTAAAAATATTTTTTTTAATCCAAAATATTTATCCTCAGATGAAAATTAATGATTTTTATTATTCTATTCAAATCTATATTGCAGAAAGAAAACAACTTAACAATGCTTAGAAATCATATTTGCTATAATGTTTATATTTTAAATTATTTCTTGAAGTGTCCATGCCAAAAAAATCGCCTACTTCCAAGGCCCATCAAAGCTGTTCCAACCACGGGGCCGGAATTTCTGCAACCAATCTTTTTTAGGTTTCTTTTCACTCCTGTATGCCGAGTCCATTAGCGCCTGATCCAAACAGGGTTCAGAGTCGTGTGTTTGTTGTCTATTCTGAACCAAAAGAAATAGTATTGCAGAAACATCTATCTTTGTATCTATCTCATCATCCACGACTTGGATTTCAGAAAGCCCAGAAGAAAAATCTAAGGGTTCAGATAGATGAAATTTTTGTTTCTTAAGCAATATTGGTTAATTAGCTAAAGTTAACAGAGAGATTTTCGAATATTTGACATAGCTATAACACAAAATAGAAGGATCAGACGACAAATTATGCTGTTTATACGACTCCTTCTAAAATTAAAATAATGATCCCTGTTTTTTAGGTCACCCTGTATATATATTTCTATATATATATATATATATATATATATATATATACCATATATATTATATAATGCTCTTAATTGTATTCTTTGAAATACAGTTTTATAGTCGTAAAATCACTAAGCTGCTTATCAAATAATTCCAGAGCCTTTCCCCGCATCAAGATTATTCAATACTTTCTTCTAAACGAAATAAATAATTTTTATATTAATAATTTAGAAGTTATAATTCATCTTAGTTCATATAGGACGACCATTTTTATCTAGGTATCCCCGAACAGCAAAGTTCTAACCTAAGACACGTTTTTAAGACATAAAGCTTTCGAATCTACTGAATGATAGCAATTCAAACATTATATTTAAGATAATATAATGCATAATGTAGAATTCTAAATTTATACGACACTTTTATAAATGTTAAAATTCAGCAAAATATTTTTTAATCTGAATTTGTCAAACTAATGGGATCCAGGTCATTGGACGTAACACTGAAATACCTTGTCATCGGGCATAACACTGAAATACCTTGTCATTGGACGTAACACTGAAATACCTTGTCATTGGACGTAACACTGAAATACCTTGTCATTGGACGTAACACTGAAATACCTTGTCATTGGACGTAACACTGAAATACCTTGTCATTGGGAATACCTTGTCATTGGACGTAACACTGAAATACCTTGTCATTGGGCGTAACACTGAAATACCTTGTCATTGGGCGTAACACTGAAATACCTTGTCTTTCCCTAAACTTTTTTTGAAATCACAAAGCCTTGTCTACCCTCAGACCCAGTATCTTGTGACGAACATACATCTCAAGGTATACAAGTAAATTTCATATCTTTGTTGACATGTACTACAGTTTCTGGGTGAATTAAAAACAAATATGGCCCGACTAGATTTGAGTTTGACTACATTTATCCCAGAACTAATTTTTGTACGCTATTATTAAAAGGATTATGATGTTATTTCTGAGTGACATGTCAGATTAACAACCGTTAATGGTTTGCAAGAACAAAAATGAATGAGATATCCACAATTTTTAACTTTGGAAATGGATCATTTTGAATTTTTATTTCTATATAAAATGATTAGCTGATTTCTGCAACAGAAACAATTGAGGAAACACTTTGAAGCTAAAAAAATGAAGATATCTTCCATAAAAATTGATCAGATAATAATTTTTAGCAGGTCCACCCCACTTTAAATGGTCACTTTAAATTAAATATGAATAATATTAGCCTATACCCCTTTCATTTTTCGCGAACACTCCCTTTAATAAATTACCTATTAGAAGCATCATGCAGATCAGATTAAATATTCGCATAAATATCCCGATAGAACTCAAAACCTGCAATTTAAAAAATATTATTTAGTAAATTAAACAATAAATTGTGGTTGCATCAAAAGACCCTAAATTGCAAAAATGGCGCTGGGTTCACTGGATTAATAAAAAGGATTCAAATTTAGAAAAGACTTTTAAATTATTTTTTTTGTCATAGTTATGCATGAGTTCACAGTAAATGCAGATATAACGTTTTCTAAAGAAAGTTTTCTGAATTCAGAATTTCATGAGAGCTGGTGTGAAAATATAAGGTCATTATACATTCCTACTATTTAAACTCACATTATGGTGTATGAAAATGAAAGGAAGGGAGGATTGGGATTGTGTACATTTTGCTGCAAACATAATTAAACTGCTCAGTGATTGGTTAAAAGGGAATTAAAGGGGACATAGTTCCTCGCCGCAATTAGGCCCATTTCTAACATTCAGTGTTAGATATGGGCCATAAACCTTGGTGGGAACTAATGTCTCTTGTACTAACCAACAGTTAATAAACAAAAAAATCCGACCTTTGTTTACCATCTTTGTTATTGTTTCGATAACACTTATTTTTAGTGATCAATATTTATGTCACAGTCAACCCCTGCACCCCCTTACCTTTATATAAGAATATCTTATATCTATAACGATGATGATAATATAGGCCGGGTATGGTTTCAGGGGCAACAAACTAATCCATTAAGAAGTAAAGAGAATAAAAAGCACCCCTGGATGCCTCATTATACAGTGGGTGTTATCCATAGATTAATAACAATACAGATAGAATACTAGATGTCGTCTTTTCAATATTTAATGTTTTTTCCGTTCACAATAACCCTGAGGCAGAGGCCCAGAGAAGTTACGCGCATGCTCTCTCTTTTAATCCAACGCGGCATACGGCGTAACTCATTTTAGCTTCTGCCTCAGGGTTATTTTGAACGAAGACCTAATAAATCTTGAAAAGACGACATCTAGTGTTCTATCTGTATTGTTATTAATCTATGGTTGGCTCAATTTGAGGTGAACAGAAAAAGTCAATTTATTCAGACAAATGAAGGAATCATTTCCTTATTGTTTTATCTTTATTGAAGAACGCAAAACTAGTCCGCGGTGACCAAATTTTATGAACAGAGAGAAGTAGCTGAACCGCGTAGACTAAGTTAAACCACGTCTTTAGTGCGCCCGGTCAAGAAGTGGTTAAACTTAAATCTACTCAGTTCAACTATTTATATCTATACTTTCTGAAGACCACATAATATTTCTGTGTACGAAGGAATTTAATAAAAAATCCGATTTTATAATCCTTTTGCTTTTGCAACATGAAGTTGTAGACCTTTGATATTTCAAACTTTGAGGTATCTTAAATCAAATAGTCTAAGTTTGAAATTTCAAAGGTTTAGACCATTCGGTTTCAAAAATATTAGATTTGTTTAAGTCCAGAGAGGAAAAGAGGATTAAAAACGTGGTGTTGGACTCTTTTGACTTTTATTAACAAAACTTTTTCATATAACTTTCTTGGTGGAATTATCGACCTGAAAATAATAGTATGTCATAAAAAAAGCAAAACCGCAAACCATGCCTTAAAAAAGTCTTGTTTTGCTCTTTTACAATTAATGTATGTTCTATATATTTTAGATTTTACATTTTAAATATTAGATCTGGTTTAAATAGTTTAAAGTGCAGTCATGCAAATGCGAAGAGATGGAATGGCATTCAATCCAGTTAAACTTGCTTTTACACACCGATGGTGGTTTTAAATGAACTTATAATTCAAAAGAGTTGAGTTTTTGCAACAAACTCAAATCTTCTAATCCCTATATCTCCGTAACCTGGTGCCATGTAAACCTTTGATATTTCAAACTTAGATTATTTGATCAAAGTTTGAAATATCTAAGCTGTACAACATATGGTTGAAAAAATATGGATATTAGAAAAGCTAGATGTGTGGCAAATTCATGTTTCAAACCCTGACACAAAGTTGAGATGGTTCGCCCTGTACTCCCTGTATAGTGTCTACCTCTAGTTCTATGGATCTCCCTGTATACCCTACCTTAGAAATAAAACTTTTCGATGAGGCTTCAGCGTCGAGATCTCTTGTCCCTCGTCTCTTGTGCGTCTTATTACGCGAGTTTTGCATTATCTAGTGAAAAAGTGCGTCAGTCCAACCCGGGGTCAATATATAGAAGGGACTGTTCAAGAGCTTTCAAGTTTTTCCTGCAGTAGAAATGCGCAAGTCACTTTTGTAGAGAAACCTCAATTGAATATGATAAGTTTCTAAAATTACAAACATTGATATTTAGCTTATACTTAATCAGCTTTAAGAACACTGTTGTAAATCGGGCATTGCCATCTTTGGATGATGGGTCCCTTGAAATTATGCTTGCAGTCCCTTTAAAATCAACATATTGCATACAGGAACTCGGATAAAAGCAGGATCAGTGTCAAATTTATTTTTGTATAATCTCCTTGAAATCTCGTGCACAGTCCGCTTTATCCTGAGTTCTAGCATGCAAGGATAGATACTGACCCTAGGGTAGTGAAGGTGCAGAATTAATTCAATTGATTTCATTCTAATGATTAACATTCAACATTAAGATCAATGTAATATTATTTATACATAAAGAGATATATTTTGTATTGTGTATTGTATATTGATAAAAGGTAATGTTTAGATCCAACTATTTAAGTCCTTGTTCTTTTCTACTTGAAAATATCTTTTAAAGAATGGCTAGAGCTTGACAAGAAAGGCTAGAGCTTGGAAAGAAAGGCTAGATATTGAAAAGAAAGGCTAGATATTGAAAAGAAAGGTTAAAACTTGATAAGAAAGGCTAAAGTTTGAAAAGAAAGCCTAGTGCTTGAAAATAAAAGGTATAGCTTAAAAAGAAAGGCGAGCGCTTGAAAAGAAAGGAAAGAGTCTAAAAAGAAAGGTTAGACTTGAAAATATAGAGTCTGAAAAGAAAGGTTAGAGCTTGAAAAGAAAGGTTAGAGCTTGAAAAGAAAGGTTAGGGCTTGAAAAGAAAGGTTAGAGCATGAAATGAAAGGATAGAGTCTGAAAAGAAAGATTAGAGCTTGAAAAGAAAGGTTAGAGCTTGAAATGAAAGGATAGAGTCTGAAAAGAAAGGTTAGAGCTTAAATCAAGAATTGATCTAGTATCTGTTCAGATTCCTACCATTGACATGCAATCAGAAACAAACCAGGTAAGAGAAAAAAGATTTAGTTTTTTCACAGTCGATTAGTTTCTTAATTATGTTTAAAAAATAAAATCAGTAAAAACTATATTTTGTATTTAAGTTGTTAATATCCTATTATTATTACCCCCTAGAGGATCATTTCCCAAGTTTTCACGGAAACATTGCAAATATTGGCAAAATAAGGTCATTGGATCCGGGCCGAAAAAGAACTGTGCAAAACCGATATTTATGCAAAATTTTCATCGTGTACAGACTGACTTTTCATAAAGTTAAATGTACATCTATCTTTAAAGGCACTGTGGACGTTTTTTCAAGTGAACCTTTAACTCTTTGTATGATCAACAATGACAGAGATTTACTTGTTTTTCTTGCTGAAAATTAAAGGTCGGGATACTCAAGTTAACAATGGAACCGAAAGTTGCCCGGCACTCAATTTTCATCGTTAAAAACAAGAATTTCTCCGTCATCAATGATCAGACAAATTTTTTAAATGTACTGGTACAAATGGAGGGTCACTTAAAATTACGTCTACAGGACGGAGGTTTAGAATTTTTCAACGTTTAAGCCAGCCGCAAACAAAGCGTTGCTTTTAACTTTAGCTTTTGTAAATATCAAAAATGCGACGTTGTTTGTGTTCATGAAACTCTGTGCTTTTGTAAAATATTTAAGACTTTTAGTAGATTTATTGTTTGAATCTTAGCTAGTGTGCAGTGTGCACTGTTTACATTTATCTCCTTAAAGGGACTTTAAAGGAAAAAGAAAAGGGGGTTTAGACTGAAATCTAAGAATTTTAGGAGTTGATCGAGACCCGAGAGTTCTATCTAATATGTTCCTGTCTCGAGAAAATGACATAAAACTGTGTCAAATTTATTCGAAAATCTATATATATTTGTATATATATATATATATGTATATATATATATATATATATAACATTGTGTATAAAAATTGTAGGTTTAAACGAATCATATTCTGCAAATACACAATCAATCTGAAAACGACGATATCCCAAAGGAACCCAAATAAATTAGGTTTGCTCCGATTATTATTTGAATTTAATAATTTTTTATTTATAAAAGATATCATTGATAATATTATTTAAACTTCCCTATTGACCAAAACTCTCACCAATGGCAGTGCAGTATATTTGTCACATGATACAGACGGAGACATGTGATAATGATACTGCACTGCCATTGGTGGAAGTTCCAGTCACATCACGGTATTTATTATATTATCTATTATATCTATTAAAAATGAAAAATTATTTAATTCAAATAGTAATAGGAGCAAACCTAAGTCACTTAGGCTTCTCTGGGATATTGTTTTCTTTAGATTAGTTGTGTATTTGCTGAATATGATCCGTTTAAACCTACTATTTGTATACAACATATATAAAGATTTAGCCAGACGTTTCACCTTCTTCTCTTGGCGGCAAATTCTTGATTTTACAGTTCTGGTAACTGGCTGAAACTAACGTATTTTATGCTGGAGTAGGGTTTGACGAAACCTGCATATTAAAAAAAACACAAAAAATCAATTTAAACATCCGACCCTATGTCAAATAATGTTAAAAATTTGATGTGTACTGTATACATTATACACATGTACAGTGTACAGTGTACAGTGGTTGATGTAAACAAACACACATGTCCAGTTTTTCAATAATTATCATGGAGGAATCTTGCTATTTGGTTTTTGGGAAACGCGGAAAAAATATTCTCCAGGATGGAGACTTTTTCCAGTATTCCAAGAATTATACCAAAAAAGAAAAGTATTCTTATGAAATAAACGATTTAAACAAATTGTAAATTCTTTTGAGGTATCCAATACAAATTATCTTATGGAAATAATAAATAATTAATTTTTTTGTCAAATTATTAGTGTTATTCATTACAGTAATTTTAAGTTCATTTCGTATCAACACTAATATTGAAGAAATTATGTTGTATTAAAAAAGCAGCCCTGACTGCAGTTTCAGTAATTTGCCGCCAAGACAAGAAGGTGAAACGTCCGTCTACCATAAAGATTTATATATAAAGATTTTTGACACAGTTTTATGAAAATTGCTCAAGAAAGAACATCAAATAGAACTCTCAATGGTCTCGATCAACTCCTAAAATGCTTAGGTTTCTGCCTATACCCCCTTTCATTTTACTTTACAGTCTCTTTAATTGCATAAAGCATTAGATACAATCCTTCCCCCCCCCCCTAACGTTTTTCCTTTATAGTCCTTTTAATGGGACTGTCAACGTAATTTCAAGTGACCCACCATCTAAACCTTGATCACAGTAACATTGACAAATTTCCTTCCTTATCTCTGCTGCAATATCCTACACTAGAGTTCCAGCACCAGTCTGATGAGAGCATATACATTCTCATCAGTGTTTTACAGAGTAGCACCAGTCTGATGAGAACGTATGCCTTCTCACCAGTGCTATGCAGAGTAGCACCAGTCTGATGAGAGCGTATGCATTCTCACCAGTGCTCAGTAGCACCAGTCAGATGAGAGCATATGCATTCTCACCAGTGCTCATAGTAGCACCAGTCTGATGAGAGTGTATGCATTCTCACCAGTGCTCATAGTAGCACCGGTCAGATGAGAGCATATGCATTCTCACCAGTGCTAAGCAGAGTAGCACCAGTCTGATGAGAGCGTATGCATTCTCACCAGTGCTATGTAGAGTAGCACCAGACCCTCTCAGATCTGAATAGAGAAGGTCTGTCACTACTCTGCATAGCACTGGCTGGAATGCATACGCTCACATCTAACTAGTGCTACTATGAGCACTGGCTAAAATGCATACGCTCTCATCTGACTGGTCCTAGTATGAGCACTGGTGAGAAGGATACACTCTCATCTGACTGGTGCTACTATGAGCACTGGTGAGAATGCATACCCTCTCATATGACTGGTGCTACTATGAGCACTGGTGAGAATGCATACACTCTCATCTGACTGGTGCTACTATGAGCACTGGTGAAAATGCATACCCTCTTATCTGACTGGTGCTACTATGAGCACTGGTGAGAATGCTACCCTCTCATCTGACTGGTGCTACTATGAGCTCTGGTGAAAATGCATACCCTCTCATCTGACTGGTGCTACTATGAGCATTGGTGAGAATGCATATGCTCTCATCTGACTGGTCCTACTATGAGCACTGCTGAGAATGCATATGCTCTCATCTGACTGGTTCTACTATGAGCACTGTTGAGAATGCATATGCTCTCATCAGACTGGTCCTACTATGAGCACTGGTGAGAATGAATATGCTCTCATCTGACTAGTCCTACTATGAGCACTGGTGAGAATGCATATGCTCTCATCTGACTGGTGCTACTATGAGCACTGGTGAGAATGCATATGCTCTCATCTGTGCTCTCATCTGACTGGTCCTACTATGAGCACTGGTGAGAATGCATACGCTCTCATCTGACTGGTCCTACTATGAGCACTGGTGAGAATGAATACGCTCTCATCTGACTGGTTCTACTACTATGAGTAGGTATATTTACAACTGCAAGTCAAATGATAAAATATCAAAATTATCAAAAATAAGGATATTTCTATCATTTCCTTTAGACAAAGGTAGAATTGTGAATCGGACTTGGGCATGCAATTCTTTAAATAAATAGAGGGTCACTTGAAATTCCACAAACAGTCCCTTGAATATTAATAATTTAAATTTTAAGTTTTATTTGTAATTTTAACATAAATAAGTTAAGGCTTCGAATTAAAATCAAGCTAATTGTCTCAGATTTGCCTGACGCCACGTGTACAGGAATTCCCATGTTTATTGGGACACCCTGTATGATAAAAAGGATTTAAACTTACATAGACTTCCTCCCACTGTCCAACATATCTCACGAGTCGAGATAATCGTAGCAACCGGAGCAAACTGTGGATCCATACATCGTATTTTATCTTTGAATTAGGAAATGTCGATGAAAATTTCTGAATTTGACTAATTTACTTTAAAGATGTATCAGTAGCAATAGAAAATTTCAAAAAAAAATGCAAAAGTTAATTTTAAAACAAAAAAAACGAATTAAAATAAATTAAAATAATTGATTTGGTTAAATATTTTATTTATTTAATTAGGTTCATCTATTTTTTAATTGATTCAATGCTTTGCTTTAAAAACTATAATTTGCATTTCCCTATATCTTTGCAATCTGATGTCTTACACATTAATTTCAAAATATGCAATCTTGAGGAATAGTTAATACTTGAAGTTTTCAGTTTTTTATAAAAGAAATTTAATGACTTTTACAATTGTATTCCTAAGAAGTTTTGCTAATCTAAGAATTCTCAGAGCTCTTGTAGTTTGAATTATAGTTCTGTTGCGATCCTGTTCACTTGCACCAATCTGAACAGGAATACATAGATTATATTATTGTTCTGTTTTAGTCCTGTTTACTTGCACCAATCTGAACAGGAATATATAGATTATATTATTGTTCTGTTTCAGTCCTTTTCACTTGCACCAATCTAAACAGGAATATATAGATTATAGTACTGTTCTGTTTCAGTCCTGTTCGCTTGTACCAATCTGAACAGGAATATATAGATTATATTATTGTTCTGTTTCAGTCCTGTTCACTTGCACCAACCTGAACAGGAATTTTAAATTAATTATACTTAATCATTTATCTATATTATTTTAGATTTAGTTGAGTAGTAAATTTATAGTTTAGACTAGGAGAAGGTTTATAGTTTGAATTCGGAGAAGGTGGGGTTTAAACTAATTCTAGGTCTATGGTGTGCACTAAGAGTGGGGTTTGAATCTGGTGTAACATTACAATACTAGTTTAGTAAAGTTTATATTTGCTCTACACTTGGATAAACTTCTACTCCAGTAGTATAATATGGTCGTACAAAGGGTTCGGAGGAGGTTGTAATAGGTTAGGTTGGAGAGGGGAGGTGTGGGGAGGGAGAGAGGAGGTGTGGGGAGGGGGAGGGGATGGGAATCCTTCAGAGACTTTTCCGTAAACTCGTCAAAACTTTGGTGACAGATAATTACGGGTCATAATTAGATATATATACATCTTTCATGATAACATGCAGATACAGGGTTATCCAAAAAGAATGGGACTTCAGAGACGACTGTATGGAATTGATACTGTCTCTTTTACTATAAACAACTTTCTTCCTTTGCAAATAAAGCCATTAAAAACGTAAAACTTGGATCGTCAAATTCTTAAGTTTCAAGTCGTTTTTACAATTTCATCCTTTGTGGGTTAACCTGCAAAGTACAATCTCATCCTTTGTGGGTTACCCTGCAAAGTACACGGCTTTTTCACTTTTTACAACTGAAACTGTAAATTTAAATAGTTTTAATATATTATTACATCAAAAATGCAACATCTTTGTTCATAACACATTTAGTCGGTAAGTGCTCCTCCCCTAATGGCACTTTAGTTGAAAGGGTGACCATGCCAGATTTTCAACGGCTCATGAGAAATTTAACTTGAAAAGTGTTTAATTCTGAAAATTTCTCCATTGTTTCTGAATCAAGAAAGCCACTTTTGCGGAGAAACCACCCATGAAAAGGAGATGTTTTGAAAAAACACCAAAAAAAAATAGTATAACTTATTCTTAAATCTTGACCAGGCAAAGATTTAAGGGTACCGTTGTGAGCTGGACATTCCATTTTGAATGGAGAATCTTTTAAAATAACATTTACAGATTCTTTCAGTGACATTATCAGTCATTTATTTGAAGCTTTCATGCCTCGCTTGGCAGATTTCCTATCCCGGAATCAAACCTAATCCTTTGATATAAAAGTTTACAGTGTGAATATTGAGATAAGTAGCTGAAGCTAATTGCGATCCAAACTTGCTTCAAGTCCAACAAGTTTATAAATCATAATAGTTTTTATCATGTTATCAGATTAATGAATTAATGCATAATTTATAAACGATAGAATAATTTTTATTAAAATTATTTAAATGTTTATGGACAGTACTATTGGATCTAATATGAAGAAGTTTGGGTTTATTATCAGAGGAAACCTATTGTATAAACTTTATCGTTGATAAGAATTGGTATAACTTCCATGCGTACACAGGTTTAAAACTTTTAAACCTTATTATGATTTAAAATTACCAAGAAAAATCCACTGTACTTTTAGAATAAAAAAAATATCATGAGACGGAGGCTTATATTTATCGTTATTTATCGTATTTAAAGATCAGCTACTATTTTTATCTAAACAAATTCGTTAACCTGAAGACTTTATTTATCTTCGTAAAAAATCTAAAATTATCGATCTAAATTAATTATTATTTCACAGTTTTTAGTCTATGGAAGAGACTGTTCAACAATTAAAAAGAACATTATTATCCGAGATTCACTATTTTACAGTTTTTAGTCTATGGAAGAGACTGTTCAACAATTAAAAAGAACATTATTATCCGAGATTCACAACAACAACAAAAAACATTTTTATCCGAGATTCACAACAAAAGAACATTTTTCTTCTAGATTCACGACAAAAGAACATTTATAACCGAGATTCACAACAAAAGAACATTTTTCTTCTAGATTCACAACAAAAGAACATTTGTATTCGAGATTCACAACAAAAGAACATTTTTATCCGAGATTTACAACAAAAGAACATTTTTGTTTGAGATTCACAACAAAAGAACATTTTTATCCGAGATTCACAACAAAAGAACATTTATATCCGAGATTTACAACAAAAGAACATTTTTATTCGAGATTCAAAGCAAAATAACATTTATATCCGAGATTCACAACAAAAGAACATTTTTATCCGATATTCACAACAAAAGAACATTTTTATCCGAGATTCACAACAAAAGAACATTTTTATCCGAGATTCATAACAAAAGAACAATTTTATCCGAGATTCACAACAAAAGAACATTTTTATCCGAGATTCACGACAAAAGAACATTTTTATCCGATATTCACAACAAAAGAACATTTTTATCCGAGATTCACAACAAAAGAACATTTTTATCTGAGATTCATAACAAAATTACATTTTTATCCGAGATTCACAACAAAATAACACTTTTATTCGAGATTTACAACAAAAGAACATTTTTATCCGAGTAATTTTTGTTTAAAACGAGGAAATATTTATGCTAAAATCAAATTCTGTAAATTGCGACGACTCTTGAAAAAAAACCAATTGAAAGTTCAAAATTTAAATTTAAATCCAATTAATTTTTGAATAGAACGGGCTAAAAATGAAACCCTTGTAGAGCTGGCTAGCCTTCGCATTAAATGAATTTAAAAACTAGAAAATTCAGACCAACCAAAAATTCAGAGAATTTTTAATGAAGTTTTAAATTTCCTGTTTGAGTTTAATTTAATTTCTCCGTTAACCTTTACACGAGCAGAAGCAATGTTTTAACCAATGTATATTTATAACTGCACGGATTTAATTAAACCTCAAAACAAACCATTGTGGATGGATGGATTTATCTCTTTTCTTCATCAAACATGTCAGGCTATAAATAGAGTCTCACTTAAAATTATGTCTACGTTCTCTTTCTGCTTTGACATGGTAAGCACTTTTCTCCTAAAGGACTCTTGGATGATACATGTAGTGAATTAGAGGGAAAAAATATAAATGTAATAAAAGATTTATCAATAATAACTGTGATGTAATGCATGTAAAATGTATTTTGCATTACATCACATTACAGGTTGCTACAATAAACATGCTATTTGAGTGACGATTTTAAGATCGTCTTTGCTAGGAATTAGCCGTGTAAAACCTAATTTCAAAAGGCATAATTAAGTTATGTAAGAGTATATGTTATGTAAACGGTAAAAGGCAGTTTTGTTATTCAGCAAAACAGTACAACAGTATAGCAAAACAGTATAATACAACTGTACAGTACAACATTACAGTACAACTGTACAGTACAACTGTACAGTACAACTGTACAGTACAACAGTACAGTACAACAGTACAGTACAACAGTACAGTACAACTGTACAGTACAACATTACAGTACAACTGTACAGTACAACAGTACAGTACAACAGTACAGTACAACTGTACAGTACAACAGTACAGTGCAACATTACAGTACAACAGTACAGTACAACTGTACAGTACAACAGCACAGTACAACAGTATAGTACAACAGTGCAGTACAACTGTACAGTACAACAGTACAGTACAACAGTATAGTATAACAGTGCAGTATAAAAGTATAGTACAAGAGGAAACGATAAAAATTATAAACAAATATAGATAAAAGTTAGTCCTGTCTTAATTTTCAATGCATAACTTTTATAATATTCCTTATTGTTTTATATTCATCTTCTGATTCAAACTTTTTATATTTTATAGTAAATATTACAATAAAGTTATGCATGTAACGGTGCTTCTTTACCATACAGACAGAACATGGCAAAAAATGTTACCTCCCAGTCGAATCCAATTAACCTTTTATCGTGATTAATGTACAATACGCATGATATCTGTACCCTGTACGACCGGAATTATGTACGTCTGATCTTTTTAGCGTAAGTACGTACCTGTACTGCAAACAAAATGTTTACATTTACTCACCATGTCATCAGGATGCACTTTGTAATCAAAGAATAGGAACACATAGTCCATGGGAAGAGAACTTACTAGATCCAGGAAGAACCAAGTTCTGAACAAAAGCATTTCTTTTGAATTAATTTAGCATAATTAACCCTTTTCCTTCAAACTAATTTTAGGAAGAGAATAAAATATATAGGAATGTATTTAGGAAGAGAATAAAATATATAGGAATGTATTTAGGAAGAGAATAAAATATATTCGAAGTACTTGACAGAAAAATAGTAAAACTGTGATACATGATCACTGCATTCATCTGAAACTTGATATTATATGATAAATTGATAACACATCATATTAGATCGTGTATAGTTCAAAATTGTGATTTTAGGGAAATTAAAAAACAATGAATCATTGTTAAAAATTGTTAAAGGTTTCTTTGAAAGATTTCTTGCAAATGATTCTATGTTTTTCGAGTATTATGTGCGTATTTTGGCGTTAAAGCTTGGAGATAATCTCGTATGATATGGAACGCTTTGTATATCGAGAAAACAACTGTGTACACTGTACACACTGTACAGTGTACACAATGCAACTGTTTGATCTTTTGGCGGATTTTGATCTTCTTTTGGTGCATTTTGTGTGCTTTCGATCTGCTGTCCCGCTAAATGTATTCTAAACCATCTTTGAAAAACTACAAAATGTTGAAATATGGAAAAACTTTTAAGTCTGATTCCAGAGCTGATAACTTTTAGTGGACTGAAGCGTCGGTAACCGTCAAAAAAGTCCTTGGCAAAAAAAGTTTCCGGAAAAAAGTCCTAAAATTGTACACTAAAAAAGTCCTGTGGAAAAAAGTCCTTTTATTAAAAAGTTTCCGGAAATAAAGTCCTACCAATTCGAGACTTTATTTTCTAGGACTTTTTTTCTGGCTCCAGTATGATTTTATACAATAAAGTCCTCTAACAAGTAAAAATGCATGATTCACAATTCTAGGTTTTTTTTTTCCTTGGATTTATTTTCTTCAGGACTTTTTTTCCTGGGATCTTATTTCCTGAGACTTTATTGGCAGCCCCCATACTATTCTAGGAAAAAAAGTCCCAGGAATTCAAAACACAGGACTTTATTTTCAGTGACATTTTTTCCAAGGACTTGATAAAATTCGGACTTTTTTCCAAAGTTTTTATTTCCAGGTTTTTTTTCAGAAACTTTTTTTCCCGGGACTTTCTTACATAGATTCGAAGCGTCATACTTTGCTTGAAATAAAACTGATCGATCTAGTAAGTAAGTTAGTGTGTAATCTATTAAATTAAATATAACAAAAAACAAAATAAAATGCTTGAGTAGGAAATATCTAAAACCCTCCAAAAGTAGATTTTGTGGGAATATTTCCCCAGTTCCATGAAATAGAAAGTAACCTGTTTATTTTTAAATTTTAAATCAATAGATGGTGGATGTTTTTGCATTCTCCTACGATAAACTCAATGAATAGACACTAAGCCCAGAAGAATTGAGATAATCTCCCAACAAAGAAAGGAGGAGTTTAACACAATCCCGTTCATCAATTCATATCTTTGGTTAACTTATTAAGATAAATACTTTGCTTGTCCGTCCGTTTGTATCCAATAAACGTAAAAACGGCTGAACCGATGAGACCCAAATTTGAATGGCACCCCACATGACCCCACTGGGTAGGCTTATACACCTTGCCTTATTTAAAATTTAACCAGAATTTTCTTTACGAAAATGCAGAAATAAAGATAGAAAAATCCACGAAAAATTGAGAATGATTAAAAATGTCGACTTCTAGAACCAAATCCTAGTATCATATGAAAGAGGATTGGGAAGGGGGTTGAGAGGGGGTGGGGTGGTGGGGTCAAAAGAGGGAAAGATTAAAAGTTTAAAAACCTACTTTAGATATTGCTTTGCTATGAGTTTAGGATCCAGGATAACTTGTTCGCAGTTGTCCTGCTGCATTATGCCTGGAATAATAATAAAAAATATTAAATATTAAGTTTTATAGGGATTGTGTTCTTTCTTGAAGAAAAAAAAACACAATTCGAAAATGTGTTAGAGTGCTAGAGTAGAGTGAAAACAACTGTCACATTTTTTTGTAAATTTCTTGGAAAGGAATAGAGGCGTTGCCACAAACTCTGATTATCTAATCCCTATTTCTTTGCAACTCAATGTCGTAAACCTTAGATATTTCAAACTATGAATTGTGTTAGATCAAATGATCTAAGGTTTACACCATCAGGTTGAAAAGGGATTAGAAATTTGAGTTTGTAGTAAAAACTGAATTCGTTTGCAACATTTTATTATGTGAATTTCTGGTGATCACACATTTTCATAAACAGAAAATGTATAATGTGATGTATAAATGTATAAAATTTACAAAATTGGGGGGGGGGGAAATGACTTAGTTGTCTTTTAAAATAAAAAATTAGATTTTTATATTTTCAAATGAGTAAATGATCTTTTAAAGCGTTTTTTTTATTGAACTACTTACCTTAAAGGGACTAAAGGTAAAAAAGGTAAAAAATGAAAGGGGGTTTAGGCTGATTGGAGTTGATTGAGACATATAAGAGTTCTTTCTGATGTTCCTGTCTCGAGAAATTGAGATTTTAATCATTTTTCATTTCAATAGGTATAATTGAGTATTATTTATGCGTCCGGAACATGTCACCAGAACCTCAACCAATAGCAGTGCAGTATTATTGTCACGTGTCTCCGTCTGTATCACTTGATCAGTATAAGACTGTCATTGGAGGCAATTTGGGTCACGTGATACGGACGTATATCTAACATATATATATACGTTTTGGTATAATTTTGACAGGGTCACGTGATACGGACGTATATCTAACATATATACGTTTTGGTATAATTTTGACACCGTTTTATGTCAATTTTTCGATACAGGAACATTAGATAGATGTCTTAAAGGTATCGTTCAACGCCTGAGATTCGCAGGTTTCATCTTATACCCCCTTTCATTTTTCCTTTACAATCTCTTTAATGATATTTACAAAAGTACGATAATAAAGTTAAAAATAAGTTAGAAATATTTTCTGTAGTCGAACATTACGTAATGAATGGAGTAATAAATCTGAAAACTAATTTAGAAAATGTTTTTTTTTCGTTCAATCTTACAAATCATTGAGTCATTGTACACTTGCAAGGGAGACTATCAAAACTAGGTTTATGTAAGGATGTATGTATGTATGTAAGGGTGTATGTATGTATAGGTGTATGTAGCTGACCAAAACGTAGCAATAAAAAAAAATAACGAGATTAAAAGATAAAAGTGGCATATCCCTCCCAGATCAATCGTTTTTTACTGTCGAGTAATGGACTTTTTTTAACGCCAGGATCTTTTTGTACATTTTCTTAAAGGGAGTGTTCACGAAAAATGAAAGGGGGTATAGGTTTAAGCGAAAAATACCGCTTTTGATCGCTACTAATCTTACTTCTATCTGTTGCGTTCATACAAATTCGGAACGATGCAACATTCAACTCGGATCGTAAACAAATCAATTTAATTCCAAACAAATCATTCAGATATTACAAACAGTAGTCATCGATTATTTTTTTGACGCATTTGTATATAGTAAATACTTCATAATATTTTTGATTTTGTTTTTTTTAAATAATTTTCGCTGGAGCTGGATTTTCGAACATTCCTGGAAAATATGAAAATGTCGTCTTCATTATCAAAAATCCTCAAAACAGGAATAAATGCTTTCAAAAGTAACTCTCAGATCATGAGAAATACAAAATATTATAAAATATCAACTATTTACGAATGCGTCGAAAAATAATCGTAATATATGAATGATTGATATATTTTGGGCCGTGGAAAATCAACTTTTTAACTTTTTTTAAAACTTTTTAACACTATTGCTGTGTCACAAGTTCTCGAGTCCAAAAGCCGTCTCCTTATTCCACAGTATTATGAATCCTACCGTCTGAAACATGTGCTCTGTTACCTGTTCTGAAGTTGACGATGATATCGACGAGGAAGATGGTATCGGAGAGACAATTGAAGATGATTCTACTGATGGAAAGATCGTCGTTGAAAAATGAAATAGCTACAGGAAGAATAATTAGGTTTGCCACCAGGAGAAGCAGCATACACAGATCCCAATAGAACCTTAAAAAAATAGTTTTTTTATTTTGATAATAGAAATCAATGCAAATACATTCAATTTTAAAGGTTAATCATTATTTTCCTATTGAGACACAAAGGTTTAGAAGGTATCGTTGTGAATTGGAAGTCCCTTTAAATGTAGAAAATGTATCCGATTTTTTTTTGGGGGGGGATTATATCATTTTCAAGTTTTGTTTTGTTCTGTAATTTATTGGTATTGCTAGGGATTACCTTTTCAAGGTTTAAAGTTTACATTAGGGTTTAGTTTGTAAATTTTCTTCAAACCACATATATACAGACTCACATGAAAAGTTGAATTAATTTCCAAGAACAAGGAACTAAATACAAGAACGCCCAACTCAGATATACGCAAATTGTGTACTGTACACAGTGGGAGGAATGTAAACAAACCAAGTGCACCCACAGAAGTTGAGGGGAAAGGACTACAGCTCTGATGTGATATTACAGTCCAAAAAACAAGTTAATATATTAAGTTAGAGCGAATCCTTATGATTTTTGGCTTTCTGATCAAAATGAAAAATACATTAGCAATATATTCTTATTCCACCCCTCGGGCCCTTTTCCCTCAAAAATGATGCGTTGCGCCTTTGCTTTGGTACTTTTGAGTTTAAATCGAGTTCCTTGTGATATTTATATATATATATAAAGTTGTAATCTCTGTTTGTTTCTTTGAATGTCCTATCAAAACTCGGGAACCCCTGGACCGATTTGCTTCAAATTTTGGGACTCGGAAGAACCACGGGAATGTTCTTAGCTTGGTTTTGAGATTCTAAGTTGAGTAGGTCGACTTTTATAGCGAAAATTTAGATTTCCTGTAAAATCCTTCAAGTGCGGGTAAACGGCAGAAGTACCTTTTAGTAACCTTGGCATCGCTGGGTTCCCAAGCTAGTTCTATATAAACTTACAAGAATAATATTTCTCAACGATAGATAGATATAGTTAATTTGGTAGATTGATATTAGGTTGTCAGATTTATATTAATTTGTAAGATTCGTTAGAAAGTAATATGATTAATCTTGATATATCATTTACAAATGTATCTCAGTATATACAATATATATAATGTTATATTCTGGAAATTATTAATGTTAAAGTCTTCAACTTAAGGTTGCAAAGATATAAGGATTATAAGAACTTTAGAACCAAATTGCAAACTGAGGGAAAAAAGTCCAGTTTAAGTCGAGCTTTTCCCACCAGATTTCGCCCAGTTTGTGATTGGACTTCAAAAAGGGATTTAAATATCGATTTTGACACTTCTCTTTGAAAATCGATAAAAACTTAACTTATGAATGGCAAAAGTGGAGTTAATTAAATTTCACTTTAACTTGAGTCTCTGCTTGCTGGGTTTTGTTTTTAAGAAGTATTCGGTAAATCTTGCCACTTTTTTGCGTTAGAATGGCCCAAATAGATTGTTAAGTACAATAGATGGCAACGTAGAATTTGAACACTCTCAGTACAGTTGTATTCTGTCGTCACAAGTGTCAATCCAGTTTTTGTGTCCGACAAAATTATCAATAATAGTGATCATTTTAGAATAAAGTGCTTTTCTTACAGTAAAATAAGTGCAATTTTATGTATTTTTTTAGTTTCTGTTTTTATTTAATCATAGAAAACATGTCAACCAATCTGAGACAAATTCGTTTTCTTTGTTATATTTGAAACTTGTGACGTTGTGTATAATTTGTTCATTTCTCTGTTGCCACCTATTGTACTTGATAATCTATTTGGAATGGCCTAACTTTTTTAGCTTCCACTGTACCCTGTACACTGATTTCCAATTTTCATGGACATCACCTAAACTCTCCATATTTGGCAGACATTGCTGATAAACATAGAAAACTAGACTTTCATAAATTCTTGCCAAGTAAGATTGATGAAAACCAATTTAATAATATTGATGGGAGGAGGAAGGGGGTGATGCAACTTCTGGACCACTGTGTGATGGGGGGGGGGAGGGGTCACATGATATTCTGCAAACTTGCAGTACATGTACATTAATAATTATCTATGTTTGGAAACTTCGACGTAAAAACCATTATTCATTTGAACTGCGTTTCAAATGAATATTATGCAATTTGGTTTCGTTAAAACATTTGAATTGAGATCGTGCCTTGAGTATTGGCATTGATCAATAGATCGCTATTGTTCGATTAACATAGCAAACGAGATCGCGCCCAGTGGTAGTTCATGGGATTGTAGCCGTGTGGGTCGTGTCCTGTTTGAGACATTGATCAATTGATTGCTAGTGTCCGTATTGACACTAATAGCTAACAAGATCGCGCCCTGTGGTAGTGGCGTTGATAGTTAATGGGATTGTAGCCGTGTGGATCATATTTTGTTTGATATTCATAGCGGACGGATTGTACCTGGACTGATACATATGGAGAAGAACTTTTAAGAGTACGGCATTTACTACAGGGAGGGCAGAGGGAAGGAAGATTAATAACTTGTTCAAACAAATAACTCAAAATAGCTCTTAAATAAGATTTATTTAATACAACGTGAAGAAACTTTAAATCACAATTTTAGATAGTTCTCAAACTTTTTGCGGATTTCTCTGATTAAATTAGTTAATTTTCAAAAATAATAATTTTTTTACATTATTCAGCCATAAACCATCCCTAGGTTCATGTGAGTTGCCTCAAAAATGTTGTGCTCGATTGGTTCAGCCGTATTAACCTTTATTCGACACAAACTAACAAACAAACAAACAAACAAATAGACAGAATAGCAAAGTAGCTTCGCGCCGATCTTCTATTTCAATTGTGAACATGTTCTCTTTGTATACATTGTAAAACAAAACAAAAAACAAAAATTTCGCGGATATTAAAAAAAATTTCGCTGATTTTAAACATCTTCAACAATAGAATTTTGTCAGTGGCAATTTTTTGAAAATTCGATCATTCAAAAACCTTCCCTGGGGTCACGCGAGGTCCCTAACAAAATTTGGGCCGTTTTGACGTTCATTGGATACAAAGAAACAGCCAAACACCCAGACAAGAAAAGTATACATAATTGGAATGTATAAACTAAATTCAAAAATTTCTATATATATTTACTAAAATCTATAATGTGCAGTATCAGTTGTTTTATAGGTTTACATAAATTATTCTTACTAAAGCCATAGAAGAGAGTATAAAAACAATCATAATGTTTTTACTTTAATTCTTAGTTTTGTCAAGTTATAAATCAAATACATAGTGTACAGTACAGTGTGCCTCTTTTTCTTAAGAGAAAAAAACATCTTTTAAAAACTCCATTTTTGCTGAAATTTTTTTTTTGAAATTTTTTTTTGAAAAAAAACACATGATAATCTAACCTGAAGCTGGAGCAGGGATGAATTATCCAGTGTCCTGCAGCTTTTTGTCGAACTCTCTCCTGCATTAACGCTTTCTTGGAGCCAAATAGTTTCATGGCGAGCTTATTATCCGTTGGAGCAAATATATTCTGAAGCTGGCTCCGAACCCACCCAGAGCTCTACAGGTTTGGAATATATCTTGTTTACATTTGTACACCTTTTTTGTGCCTTTTTGCATATTTTGTACATTTATGAACATTTTAAAACATTTATGATTATTTTTGTACATTTTTGCACATTAAAAATGTAAAAATTAATCATAATTTGATATGTAATAATGAATCATAATTTGAAATGTAATGAAGTATAATAAACCTAATTTGACAGGACTTACCATTTATAAAGAGGAATGTAAATGCCCTAATTACAACAGTTTAATCTAATAAAAAATGTGGAAGATATCGTGGTTTTTCTCTCGAAAGGTGTTTTTTCTGTGAGTTTCTTCATTGCTTCTTATAAACAAGAAATGCGGAAGTAACTTTCACAGAAATAAAATGAAAAAAAACATCTGAAAGGAACAAAATCATTGATATATAATTAATACTTAATCAGACAAAGCTTTTAAGAATACCAATGTAATTCAGGCATTGCCTTCCGCTTACATCTCTTTAAAAGCAATGCCTAATCAAGAAGGATGATTCTTTTGGTTAGTTTATAGTTTATAGAATAACTTTTGCAAGTGTACTGTCTGTGTCTATAACAGTGATTACCAGAAAATTGTGGAATAGGAAGACGACATAAAAGCAATAGATAGCACTACTAGTATGTTATTAAATCATAGATTAACTAAAATGGGTCTGTTTGCACTGCACAAACGTACTTGATCTGAACCCAAGTTTTTAGAGTTTTTTACATGTTTACATGAATTTTCCAAAAAGTTTATAAAGTTTAACTGATTCAATTTATAACTTTAAAGGTATATTCATTCCTGGCTTTTTGTATCGCTCGAAACGGAATTCCTGAAAAAAAAAACATGAAAATAATTTGTCATCCATCATTAACGAGATATAGTTTACGATATAAAGTTTAGTCCCTAGATCCTACCATACCTTAGGGGAGACTTTCGTTATAAAGGACATAATCCGTTTTGTTTATGGTCCTTAATATTAATTTAATTCCAATTTGAACATGACTAATTTCCAAATGTGAGAAGTCATTAAAGTCTACTCTCAGTCAAACAGATTATCAGCACAATTGTCGCTTCAAAATTAACCTTGCGAGAAGTTGCATATCATATAAAAGTTACGATCTCAATTAAAATAGGACTGTAAGCATAATTTCAAGTGACCTTCCATGCAAAAAAGGCCATGCTAGATTCACAACGGAACCCTTGAAACCTTAATCTGATCAAAAATGTGCAACTTACAATCTTTTTTCTGACTCTTTATAAGCACTCAATTTGAATAATCTATCAATTGATTCTTATAAGAAAGAAATGCGCAAGTCACTTTCGCAGAGAACCCGCAAAGTACAATAAACAGCTTAAAGAAAGAAAAACATTGATATCTAATTCAGACATGCAGATAAATCTTTTAAGGGTATCATTGTAATTGAACAATGCAGTTAGACTGTAGATAATATTCAAAACATTTGATTTGGAAGTTTTTTTCATTAATTTAAGTTCAAAATTATATTCCTCATACAGCTTTAGTATAATATAAAAACTTTCCTTAATTACTTAATTAATCTTTTTCTTATTCGTCATAAAATAGTAAAATGTCTCTTCAAGACTAGAAAATAAGAAAGAAAAGATATTTTTATAATGAAATATTTTCTATCTTACTTTTGTTCAATTTTATTTAGTTCTCTAGAGTGTAGTGTGGGTTTAGGTTTGTTAAAAACTTTTTTATTATCTTACATAAATTGTAATTCCTATAGGGAACCATTTTGGCAGGAAATGAGAAGAATCTATGAAAAAAAGGGCATGAAAAGAGCATGCAAACTTATATATGTTGATATGAAATTCTTTTTGGTTGAAAGGAACTGAATTCTTGTCACACAAGACTCAGCAACCGAATATTAAAGACCTTTGATATTTCAAACTATTAATTCTGTTCGAAATATCAAATGCTGCTTATATATCGGGATTTTTAAATTTAAGTTTGTGACAAAAACTGAATTCCTTTACGTGACTTAAAGTGACTGTAAGCGTAGTTTTAAGATATAGATATCCTTACTAGTAATTTAATTGAACAGAAGACAAAGAAATGTTTTTACTTTTGGATGTTTAAATGCATACACTTGTAAACATATGTAAACCCCAGTAAAGCTTTTAAACCGAGTATTTTGGTTTAGTTTGCTGAGTGTCTATCCTTACATAGTCTAATATAGTATCAACCCATCAAACTTGTTAATTCCAGTATATATACCCCCAAAGGAGTGTCTATCCTTACATAGTTTGATATAGTATCAACCCATCAAACTTGTTTATTCCAGTATATATACCCCCAAAGGAGTGTCTATCCTTACATAGTCTAATATAGTATCAACCCATCAAACTGGTTTATTCCAGTATATATACCCCCAAAGGAGTGTCTATCCTTACATAGTCTAATATATTATCAACCCATCAAACTGGTTTATTCCAGTATATATACCCCCAAAGGAGTGTCTATCCTTACTTAGTCTAATATAGTATCAACCCATCAAACTGGTTTATTCCAGTATGTATACCCCCAAAGGAGTGTCTATCCTTACTTAGTCTAATATAGTATCAACCCATCAAACTGGTTTATTCCAGTATGTATACCCCCAAAGGAGTGTCTATCCTTACATAGTCTAATATAGTATCAACCCATCAAACTATCCACAAGTGAGTGTTCACGAAATCAAAATTGAATGTGATATCGATCTTTGTTCAATCAAAGTTTTTGTAATAAAAAACTGACTAAATCATTTTTAATTTAGAATGAAGCTGAACCACTTATTTAATACATCAAACTCAAGACTTAAATTTAGAATTAAACTACACCTGTGATTTTTTGCAATAAAAATTTTAAATTGGACTCTACAAACTTTTTTATTTTATCAATTTTTCTCAAAACTTCATTTTCTTAAAGTTTAAGTAAAAAATAAAATAATTATCAATTTTAAAAATTTTTAAATAAAAAAAATTGCTTGCAAAACCCTGTCAAATTGTATTGATCAATATAGTTCAAACGATGTTTTTTACCAATGTTTTAAAGTATGTCTGAGGGCGCTCTTATTGCCTTAGAATTTTCTTTAAGGTGGCGGAGGGTATCTGTGTTTTAATTGAATCATTTATGTTGACCGCAGGATTATACACTTTTACACACTTAATGGTCTCTAAACGAAGAATTTTTTTTCAATTCTCTTCTTTCTGAAACATCAGGTGAAACAACATTTGTTAACAATCTATTTCGAATTAAGTTCTATTCTCATTTCTCACTAAAAATTATTCTTATTTCTTTTGGAAAAAATCTTCATTTTATAAGTTTGACAAATTTGGAGACCGGTTTAAAGTTTAAAAATGCCATGGGACCAAATTTAATGAATTTAAACAAGTTCTCTAAATTACCTACAGTTGATTCATATATCATCTACATATTAAAAAACTGCAGGGAAAATCCTGAATCACCGATTCAGAATACGCGTGCGCTTAATACCTTGCCATTGGAGATGTGGGTTGTGGTGGGACCTCTTCTTTAGGTGTTCCATACAAGGAGACATCATCAGCCCTCTCCGTAGAGAAGTGAACCTTGGATGAAGGTTCCGTTGTCCCAGGACTAACTCGGTCTGTTCCCATCTACGCAATAATCAGCTGTTAGTGTCATTATACAGGGTGTCCCAAAAAACATGAAAGTTCAGAGACGATGTAATACTTTTCTTTGATCTTATGACAATATGTGCTGTAAACAGTGTAAAAACGTGCAAGCTTTATATCATATGATGGTGTACATACTACAAATACCTCACCCTCGACAGCAATTATAAAACAAAGACAATCTTCAAGTTGTTTCTCAATTGTAATATTTCGTGGGTCACCCTGTAGTTTCTCTCAATTGTCATGTTTCGTTGGACACTCTGTGTTTCTCTCAATTGTCACGTTTCGTTAGAAACCCTGTAGTTTGTCTCAATTGTCATGTTTCGTTGGAAACCCTGTAGTTTGTCTCAATTGTCATGTTTCGTGGGACACCTTGTAGTTTATATTAAAATCTCAGCTGCACACCTCTTTTACTTTATGGCACTGTGTTTAAAGTAAGCTCTGTATATATAACCCTTATCTGAACAGGTGGAGGAGGAGTGGGGGGCTACCCCTTCCCAACGGAGTTGAGGGGGTGGGGGAGGGGGGTTACCCTTTCCCAACGGAGCTGAGGGGGCACCCTTTCCTCTTTATCCGTACGAGTTACTAACTTGGGTCTCTCAATTTGCCTTTAAAATAAACAATGTAAAAATGTATCAAGAATTTATCAGGTATTTGATTGTATTTAGTTAATTTATTAAGTTAATTCAACATTTTATCAAGTAAATTTAACAGTTAATTTGTCAATAAAAATAACAGATAATTTGTCAATAAAAATAACAGATAATTTGTCAATAAAAATATCAGATAATTTGTCAAGAATTATTACAGATAATTTGTCAAGAATTATAACAGATAATTAGTCAAGAATTATAACAGTTGATTAATCAAGAATTATAACAATTAATTTGTCAAGAATTATAACAGATAATTAGTCAAGAATTACAACAGATAATTTGTCAAGAATTATAACAGTTGATTAATCAAGAATTATAACAATTAATTTGTCAATAAAAATAACAGATAATTTGTCAATAAAAATAACAGATAATTTGTCAATAAAAATAACAGATAATTTGTCAATAAAAATAACAGATAATTTGTCAATAAAAATAACAGATAATTTGTCAATAAAAATATCAGATAATTTGTCAAGAATTATTACAGTTAATTTGTCAAGAATTATAACAGTTAATTTGTCAAGAATTATAACAGATAATTTGTCAAGAATTATAACAGTTAATTTGGTAAGAATTATAACGGATAATTTGTCAAGAAACAACAAGAAAATGGAGGAGACAGATTAAGGCCTGGTTTTTAGTGTAAACTTTCTTAAAGTTTAAGACAGGCATGATGATATATTGTAGATCTGGGATAAAGTTCTTTCTGTTCGTTCGTACAGGGTGTCTCACATTACATTGGATCAAGCATAAAGTAGTCCATGGTTTTATGAAAATGTTCATTAAAAATTTTTGTTAATATCTATCTATCTGATATATATAAAATAAATCAATAGATATATAAAACTTGGTAAGTGTATCAAAGTTAAACATTATATCATCCATAAAAAACTATATCCATATTTAAAGGGACTGTAAGCGTAATTTCAAGTGACCCCCCCCCCCTGAAAGGAACGCAAGGATCGATTGACGACGGTAACCTTTGTCTCATCAAATATGGATTAGAAAAACATGTTCTTAATTTTAAGAACTAATTATTTTCCGTTGTAACTTCAAAAGTGACTTGCGCATTTTTACTGCAGGAAAAACATTATAGTATCAAAATAAAACTTTGCATGAAAGGTCACTTGAAATGACGTATCCAGTCCCTTTAATGGAATATAATGTGGGACACCCTGTACATTCAGGGATTACAAGTTTATTTCCACAGAGAGATGTTGCAATGAATCATGATCAATGCAATCTTTAAATTTTAATTCTTTTATCTTCAAAGGAACAGAGTTTTTGTCACAAACTCTAATTGTCTAATCCCTATATCTTTACAATCTTATGATGTAAACCTTTGATATTTCAAACTTAGATTATTTGGTCTTACAAAATTCATAGTTTGAAATATCAAAGTTCTACGACATTGGGTAGCAAAGATATAGAGATTAGAAAAGTAGAGTTTGTGACAAAAACTCAGTTCCTTTGGTAAACTAATTTTTATTATTTCTTCTTATCTTTCATAATTCAATTTTTTTTCACAAATGTCTAATATTATCGTTGTTAGGTTGTCTTTTTGTCTGATAATTTCATTCGTTTGTTGTCTACTTGTTGTAGACCGTCATGTTGGAAAGTTGTCTATTTTTCTAATATTTTCTTTTGCAGATTGATTGTCTATTTGTTGGTGGGCAGGTTGTCTATTTGTCTAGTTTTCTTGTTGAATAGTTGTTTATGCTTCTAGTTGTCTAATATTCTCTGTTGTTAGTTGTCTAGTTGTTCAGTTTTCTCCTTAAATAGTTGTCTATGCTTCTAGATTGTCTATATGTCTAATATTCTCGGTTGTCAGTTGTCTAGTTGTTCAGTTTTCTCGTTAAGTAGGTGTCTGTGCTTCTAGATTGTCTATATGTCTAATAATCTCGATTGTAAGTTGTCTAGTTGTCTAGTTTTCTCGTTGAATAGTTGTCTTTGCTTATAGATTGTCTATTTGTCTAATATTCTCGGTTTTCTATTTGTCTAGTTGTATATTGTCTTTAAGGCTGGTTGTCAATTGTGTACTGTAAAGTGAATGCTTGTTAAGTGTTACATTTATAAAATAAAGCTATATCAGTATCCATCCGTATACTTTAACACATATCTTTACATAAAGCTATATCAGTATCCATCCGTATACTTTAACACATATCTTTACATAAAGCTGTATCAGTATCCATCCGTATACTTTAACACATATCTTTACATAAAGCTATATCAGTATCCATCCGTATACTTTAACACATATCTTTACATAAAGCTATATCAGTATCCATCCGTATACTTTAACACATATCTTTACATAAGTTACTGGATCTCTTCACATCTTATATCTATATTATATTTAACACATATCTTATTAGCGTTAGATATATTTGCAGCTCATATATATCTCCATATTTTGTATCCTTAAAGGGATTGTTTGGTAAAAATGAAAGGGAGTATAGGCTTAAAATAATCGCTTTTGATCACTACTAATCTTACTTCTATATGTTGCGTCTATCAGGAGAAAATTGTTAAAAACGTCTTACACTGCACGAAGAACATAGCGTCCATACAAATTCAGAAAGTTGCAACATGTGACTCTGTTCGTAAAATAATCAATTGAATATCAAACAAATCATTCATGATGTTACAACCTATAGACATCGATTTTTTTTCAATGCATTTGTATATACAGCGGAAAAAAAGTCGTTTTATCATTGCATATAAAACAAATAACAGAAATAATAACTATATACGCCGTAAGTCTATACCTCCTTTAATTTTTCGCGAACACTACCTTTAAGTAATTTGTTTGTGTCTGAATTCTTAGTTAAAGCCAGAAGTCATAATTTTTCAATGGTGGATATAGATATCAATGCGTAATCTCCATTTTTTTCTTAATCTCCAGATTAAATAATGCTTGTTCTCCAGAGTAATTAACCGTTCGGGGTTAAGGATATCCCATTTAAAAGTTCTCAGCTTTTGTGTTTTGAATCTTGGAATAGCTAGAACTAAGGATTAATTTAATTCTTCTTAGATCAAGTGGTTCAGATTACGATACTTCACACAAAAATTCCAACCTGATATCTTGTATTAATCTATCCAACCTGATATCTTGTATTAATCTATCCAACCTGATATCTTGTATTAATCTATCTAAATCTTCAATCAAATTCTTGGTTTACAAAGTTAAATTAACTGACATTATTCTGTTGTCGTACATGTCATTAACAGTTAATAGTTTAACTGCAAATGTTGTTCTGCATTATGCTGTTCAGGATAAATTGTAATTCAAATTTTTTAAACGACTTTAGTCATATTGTGAAAAAAAGGAAAAAATGTAGAAAGGATAAAACTAATTAGATTGTAAACGAAACGATCGTTTTCAAAAGAAACGTTTTAAATACACATTAAAAATGTTTCCGAGATAAATATCAATGCAAACTAGACAGAAGTGGGTAAAAAACTCATGCGAAATCCTTATTACGGCTTTATGACCAGTTTTGAGTTAACGACCAAGTATGGAAATTATAGCAACTTATTCGGTTCCAAACAAGAGATTAAAATTTGATTTTCAATATCTCATTAGTCAAAGGACGGAAATAAATTAGATTTTAATCTAACGTAGAATTTACTTTAGTCTAATGTGATATATCCGGTAGGTTATGTGTTCTCCTAGACCCATTATCCTATAGTGATATATCCGGTAGGTTATGTGTTCTCCTAGACCCATTATCCTACAGTGATATATCCGGTAGGTTATGTGTTCTCCTAGACCCATTATCCTACAGTGATATATCCGGTAGGTTATATGTTCTCCTAGACCCATTATCCTACAGTGATATATCCGGTAGGTTTGTTCTCCTAGACCCATTATCCTACAGTGATATATCCGGTAGGTTATATGTTCTCCTAGACCCATTATTCTACAGTGATATATCCGGTAGGTTATGCGTTCTCCTAGACCCATTACCCTACAGCAAGGACTTCAAGGTTAAATTCAAATTCAGATTTGAGAGAGACATAAATTCTAGTTTTATCTAAGGCATAGAATGGGAAATTCTGGGATTCAGATTGGATCCGAATTCAGGTTAAATCCATTTATATGGATCGAGGTTGGATCGTTTTTTATACATTGTCAAAACCAAGGAATATACCAGAGCACAAAACTTAAGACAGGGTTTCGTTCTGAAAACCAATTTTAAAACCCGGGTTTCATGAATGGGGTTAGGCAGTTTTGTGTATTTAAATATTTTGGTTTTAAAATATTATTTTATTCAGTTTGTTTGTATTCTCAATTTTATATCGAATCTCTTAAATCAAAATCTAGACAAATATTAAGATCCTAAAAAGTAAAATCGGGAGTCTTGTCTAACGATTCCCTTTTAAATTTTGGGCTCTGGAACTCTCTTTGTTTACAAGTGTACTGCAGTTTCTGGGAGGAATATAAACATTCCTCCCTAACACTCTGCAGTAGACTTTTTTTGCAATTAAAGCTTGGGAGGTCCTAGTAGTCTTCGATTTGCGGCATTCTGTCTTTGAAAGTAAAATTCTTGAAACAATAATCACAAAATTTCCCTAGTCTTGGCATTTTCAAACTGTGGTCTGACTTTTCTGTGCTCAATGCCTCAAATTATTTAAAATTGTGTATCTATCAATCTATCTATCTGGTATTCCTGGTATTCTAGAAAGTGTCTGGTCTCATCTGCTGGTATATATATTTTTCTATCTATCTGGTATACCTGAGCTGAAAACTTTAGAATGGGATATCCTTAATCCCGATCTGTTAATTAATCTGGAGATTAAGTTCATGAGGATTATAAGCAATATTTAATCTTGAAATTAAGAAAAAGAGTGGATTAAGCATTAATCCTGATATCCACCATTCTAAAGTTTTCAACTCTGGTATTCTAGAAAGTGTCTGGTCTCATCTGCTGGTATATCTATCTATCTATCTATCTGGTATTCCTGGTATTCTAGAAGGTGTCTAGTCTCATTTGCTGGTATATATATTTATCTATCTATCTGGTATACCTGGTATTCTAGAAGGTGTCTGGTCTCATCTGCTGTTATATCTATCTATCTATCTATCTGGTATTCCTGGTATTCTAGAAGGTGTCTGGTCTCATCTGCTGGTATATATATGTATCTATCTATCTGGTATACCTGGTATTCTAGAAGCTGTCTGGTCTCATTTGCTGGTATATCTATCTATCTATCTATCTGGTATTCCTGGTATTCTAGAAGGTGTCTGGTCTCATCTGCTGGTATATATCTATCTATCTGGTATTCTTGGTATTCTAGAAGGTGTCTGGTCTCATCTGCTGGTATATATATTTATTTACCTATCTGGTATACCTGGTATTCTAGAAGGTATCTGGTCTCATTTGCTGTTATATATATGTATCTATCTATCTGGTATACCTGGTATTCTAGAAGGTGTCTGGTCTCATCTGCTGTTATATATATGTATCTATCTATCTGGTATACCTGGTATTCTAGAAGGTGTCTGGTCTCGTCAGCTGGTATATCTATTGATATCTTCTCTCTACTACCCAGTAAACCAGTTTCGTTCCTGCAGAGCGCTACTGAAGCAGATCTCCTTGCTCCCCTCATCTTCTACTCTGAAATTTATAAAGATTTAAAAAGCTAAGCATAAAGGGATGTTTTCATTTATCTATTTGTGAAAAATTTACCAAATCACAATTTTTGACTAAACAATAATAGATCATGTTGAGCGATAATTTTAGAAGAAAAAAAGTGCTTATCTTTCAGTAAAATAAGTGCGATTTCATGTGTTCTTTATTTTCTGTTTTTACACTTTATTATTTAATCTTGGAAAACATGTCAACTAATGTGAGAAAATTTCGTTTTCCTTGTTATATTTGACACTTGTGACGTTGATCCATTTCTCTGTTGCCACCTATTGTACTTGATAATCTAATTGGGGTGGAGAAACACCCAACGAGGTTAAAGTGTTTAGAGTGATAATGCTTGTCCTTGTAGGCCAGGAATTACATCCAGCGCATAATTTGTACTATATTCTGCTACTATAAGTTGGAACAGAAGATTTCCTTAAGTCAAATATTAGAAAACCGTTGTTAGTGTACAGTTCAGCTAACTGCGTTACAGGAAGACAAAGTTTTTAATTCGTGTATCTTTGCAACCTTATAAAACTTTGATATTTCAAACTTTAAGGGAATTCACCCAATTTTAATTTTTATAACTTTCAGACTTAGGTTTTGAAAAAGTTGCAAATATTTTTGTATATTTGCTGGTTCAAGGGTTTTTTTAAATGTTTAATTTGTCATATTTCGCAAAATTTTAGTTTTTTTTGCACACCTATTGCACGCTATTTAACTAAATTTCGCAAAAAAATATTTGGATTTTTGCAAATTTGGATTTTTGCAAATTTGTTTTATTTTATTCAGATTATTGATGAAGAGCCCATGGGCTTTAAAAAATGTATCAAATGTTATAGATTCGTATCACAAGAAGGAAATAGAGGGGGGGTCATCGTGACCCCCCCCCCCCCGTCTATTTTGGGTAAACAAGATGTGAGTCGAATAGGGTTAATTGATTGGATATATCTGATTGAACACAGGAAATTGTACGCTTATTATTGATCGTGGATCGACTCTCATGCACAGCCATTCTCAGAAAACCAAACGCAGTTCATGATCATTGAAGAAATAATAGTTTTCAGATTTTAATCAAATTTTTATGAGTTGGGTTTGTTTATTACATTTTTTAGAATTTATTTCTTGGATCAAATATATTTTCTGTCTATTTCAAATAGATTATGAAGTACAATAGGTGGCAACAGAGAAAGGTGTCAATTATACATATTTGGTCTATTTAATCTTGCAGAATTAGTTAAAAATTTCTTAGGTTTCCAACTATAAGTTGCAAAGATATAAGAATTAGAAAATTAGAGGTTGAAAGAATATTTTAGACAATAATATCTCTCTGTGGTTCACAAAGGTGGTTAGATTCCTTATATTTAAAAATCCGCTTAAAATTCTAAATATTTTTAAAAATAGTATTTTTAACCTTTAAATATAATCGTATATGTTAGGATAATGTCAGTGCAAATCATTATTTTAAATATTTAGGAAGAAAATGGGAAAAAATATGTTTTTTTTAAATCAAATATCGCATTAAAAATTGATATGATTATTGTTTTATTTTTATTTTCTGCAAATACATTCTCAGCTAAATGTTAGTTTAACAAATGTAATATGAACTCAAAGATTTCGATTCTACTGGAGACCACTGGGGGATTTTATTTTCATTGGAGGGGTTTGAAAAAATGCTTTTTACAATTTAAGACTTTACGCAGGGTGATTTACATTCCACTGGAGGGATTCTGATATCTTTCCTGGGGGTTTATATATCCACTGGAGGGATTGAGATATCCTTCTTGTGGGTTTATAATTCCACTGGAGGGATTCAGATATCTATCTAGGGGGTTTATAAATCTACTGGAGGGATTCAGAAATCTTTCCAGAGGGTTTAAAAATCCACTGGAGGAATTCAGATATCCTTCCTAGGGGTTTACGGAAATCCATAAAAAATTAATGATTTAAAAACGGGTGGCTGATGTCCGACGACGTGAATTAAACTGTATTTTTGAACAGATTTGAAGTACATACATTTAACCTGTTAGAAGTAATAAAAGTTTAATATTGGCCTTGTGGCCACACTAATTGCATGGATCAGCCTAACGTTTTATTAAAACATTTTCTGGACTTTAAAAAGGTTCCCGAAAAGCTGAAAAATTTTATTTGCCATGAACTCAAATTTTTAACCCTTATATTTTTGCAACATGATTCTGAAAACTTTTATATTTCAAACTTATATTGTTTCAATTATCAGAATTCATAGTTTGAAAAATCTACGACAATGGGTTGCAATGATAAAGGGATTAGACAATTATTGTTTACGGCAAAAACTCAGTTCCTTTCAGAATTGTTTATTTTAAACATTTGCTTTCCTTTTACTTTTGCCAAATTTTGACCCTAACATAAGATATATTTCAAGATATTTTCTCTTTAAGGAAAGCTAACTTTTACTAAATATAGTATTGAAATATTGGAATTGTATTGAAATATTGGAAGTTCACCGAATTTTGTGGTGTCTTTTGTAAGTAAAAAACCTTAAACACGGGCAGCCGTCGTACATTTGAATTTCCGAGCCGGGTCAACCTTTCCGGTCCCAGTTTGTACTGTACCTAGCTCTATGGACAAGATTAGCCGGTGCAAGAAGGTTGACGCGGTCAGAATTTATGCTTCATTATAGGTTGAATTTACTTTTATTAAAGGGGCAGATGTGCGTGTAAAACTTATAGAAAAGCGTTAAAAAAGGGTTGGGGTGATGAAACTTAAGTGAAATTGATTATGAAAATGAAATCTATTGGTTTATTTTAGAATAAATAACATAAAGGCAAATTGTTAGAATTAATTTATAAAAATGTCAGTTTGCAAGCAAACTTTGTACTAAATTATACTGCCTTACGTCAGCATTAACGTCATTCCATGTTCAGGGGAATCAGAACTAAAATTAATAATTGTTCAGAAACATGTTCAGGGGAATCAAAACTAAAATTAATAATTGTTCAGAAACATGTTCAGGGGAATCAAAACTAAAATTAATAATTGTTCAGAAACATGTTCAGGGGAATTAGAACTAAAATTAATAATTGTTCAGAAAACTGACAATAAGTCAACTTGGTTAACGGCATTGATTACATTTTTCTGCACATAACAAACTTAAACCAAAAGGGTTTTGTTCGTTTTTTTTTTACAAATTTAGGTTTTTTGGGCTTCTAGATCATGTTTAGCAAATAATCTTAAATTTAGTTTTTTCACTTTTCAAATTTGTACGAACGATTTGTTGACGAAAAGTACAAATTTGAAAAGTGAAAAACTATTATTATTATTTCATTTTTATATCTTATGCAAAAATCCAAATTAATTGGCGAAAATTCAATATCTAATTAAAGTAAACATTAAAAACGAATTTAAAAACGATTTTAATTTTAAATGAAATTTTAATTTCTTAATTTGTAATCAATACAAAAAAAACAGTGTTTCAAAGCAAGAAAGATATACAAAGAGAAAACTATCTTGAAATATTGACGTATTCCGATCTTTGTTCCCCTGACTTTGCTCCGCGGAATAAAATATCAATAGCATGACGCAAAATCTATTAATAGTTTTAAGCTTTATAATCAATAGGCCATTCATTTCAAATTGATTAAAAACTAAAAAATTAAAAGTATTCAAATTATAAAGGTTTTTGCTAATTTAAGTTCCAATAAAGAGAATTTTTTTTTTTTAAATGTTGGAGAATAAGAGTCTCTAAGCCCCTAATTGTTATAAGGTTTATTTTTTATAAACAAATGCTTAAAAAAATACCTCTATTTTATTTTTTCTAGATTTTAATTGATATCGGCAAGAAATAAAAACATGTTCCTTGATGTATATTATTACATTGTATATATATCTACATGCATATTTGTATATAAAAATCATCAATTCAGAAGTTCTGAGGGCAAAATTTTTTCTAAACTAAACATGTTAAACCACCACCGCAGGGAAAAGAAACGACATGTTTTGTGGGAAGCCATGTATGTAAGAAGGTTTGGTGTATACTGTCGAGTAATAAATAACTAAATCAGATAAGAATACCAATATTGGGCTAAATATAGTGTGCTGCTAACAAATAAACAATATGAATTATACACTTGGTTATATGCTTAACAATATAAATAATATACAATGTTAGATCAAATATTTGGATTCGAATTTACTGTATTTAAAAATTAAACCTTCTCTAACCCTTTAGTATAAAGGCAGATTAGATATATCTGTACTTGATTATCTATCTGTATCTGTATCTGTATCTGTATCTGTATCTGTATCTGTATCTGTAACTGTATCTGTATCTGTATCTGTATCTGTATCTGTATCTGTATCTGTATCTGTATCTGTATCTGTATCTGTATCTGTATCTGTATCTGTATCTGTATCTGTATCTGTATCTGTATCTGTATCTGTATCTGTATCTGTATCTGTATCTGTATCTGTATCTGTATATATATATGTATCTGTATCTGTATCAGTATCTATATCTGTATCTGTATCTGTATCTGTATCTGTATCTGTATCTGTTTCGTTATCTGTATCTGTATCTGTATCTGTATCTGTATCTGTATCTGGATCTGTATCTGTGTAAATCAAATGTTATAAATAAGGGAAGGATCATAAAGGAAATAAATATTATCAAGGAAATCGTTTTATCCTTCACTTTTCAACCTTTCCACCAAGCTCATTCATTCATTCTTTCATCCATCCTTCCATGAAGGTTCTTCAATCTAATCTGTGCTCTTTCAAGTGATTTATAAGTATAATCTTTATAAGTGTAATCTTAAGTGACCCTCCATGCAAAGATGGCAAAGCCCGATTCACAACGGTACCCTTTAAAGCTTTTAGATTTCAATTTTTATAATTTTTAAAACTGATCATTTTCAACTGTGACTTCAAGACACAATTGACTTGCGTAGATCTACTGAAGAAAAACATAAATGAATTATTAGAATAAAATCAAACTTTCAAA